ATATATGTACAATATATAATAGTGTATGCATTTCTGGATGTGTATACTAAATATTTTCCTATGTGTGTGTGTGTGTGTGTGTGTGTGTGTGTGTACACATTTTTACAAATTAAATAGTAAAAAAAAATAAAAATAATAATAATAATAAAATATACAGAGTTGAATATGTGCAAAACAAGTGGCATTTATATACAGTGTGGAGTGCATAATGTTCTCAGTTTAGTGAGTTCGGTTGCTATCCAACAATAAAGCCGTGTGTTTTGACTTTACGTCTGCCTCCGTGAATCCTGCTTTTGGGTCCACCATTTCCTGCCTGCCTTCACACAGCCATGACAATATCTCAATCTTAATCCTTCAAGATGGGTATGCGACACATTGCTTCATCCTTGGACCATGAAAATAGCAAATTGGATGTGTCAAATCATGACTCGACTTATATAAAATAAATATATGTTTTGTTTTTTTGTTTTTTAAATTAATGTCATCCATTATATAAGCTATACTCACAGCCACTTTAAGAGGTAACTCTTCATAGCAACATACTGGACTTCCATTTTCCTTGTGAACTGCCTCAGGTCTTGGTGAGAGATGCTCTTTTGCCATCCCTGGTTGTAAATGGTTAGTTACGTTGTGTTTATGTAGTCCTCCTATCAGTTGTAGCACTCTGGGCATTCTCTGGTATGTATCATCAAGAGAGGTTTCCCAAACAGCTCCCACTCTTTGAATGTTTTATGTCTTTGGGATCGTTCTGTTATGAGATATTTCTGTGAAAATCTCAGTAGATCATTAGTTCCACAAATGCTCAGACCAGCCCGTCTGGCATCAACAACAAAGTCAATTCAATCTAATTTTTTCCCCATTCTGATGCTCAGTGAGAACCTTAGAAGGTCATTTTGTCTACATAGCAATGCACGTCTGCACGTGATTGGAGCATGATTGGGTATTTGTGTTAACAAGCAGATTTTCAGGTGTAACTGATAAAGTGTACAGTGCCTGTATATACGTATGTCAGTTAAGATGATGTGTGAACATTCAGTATATAGCTCTGTCAGGGGCTGTGTCTGTGACCCAGCATTCTAATTACATAGATAATATGTTGAGTCTTGTGTTGGTATCCTAAGTTCGGAAGTAATAGAGTGTTATTTTACTTCAGGTTTTCATCTATGTCCCCTTGTGTAAGCCAGTTCTTGTCCTCCGAGTCAGCGTGATATGTGTTTCTTGTCTGTGTGTTTCTTGTTGTTGAGCCTCCCTTGTTAGTTTATGTCATGTCGTGTCGTCCTGTTTGCTGTTCTATTTTGAAAACCTTGTGCTTCTTTGTTCAAAGGGTTTAATTTTACTCTTCTCCTGTGATGTCATTTTGTTCATTTAAGTTAGCTGTTTGCCCATGTGTTTCCACTTTCCCCGATCACCTCGTGCCTGTATTTAAGACCTCTGTCGTCCTTTGTTTGCTGTCAGGTCATCTGTGTATTTTACCGTCACGTCTCATCAGAACAGTCATTGTAGTCATCATAGTCGTGATAGTCATCTTAATTGGTTCAGAATTGTCATAGTTTCATAACAGTTTTCATAATTAGTTTCCCAGTTTAGTTGTCGCTCCTGTTCTGTCTTTGCTGGAGTTTTGTTCATGTTTACCAGCCTCAATAAAACCGCTTTCTTTTGGTTGTAGTCTCCACTCCGTCTCCTCCAGTGTCTCAACACTTAATATGAATGTCACAAACTTAATATGAATGCAATTTTTGGAAATGTTACTTCAAATGTTACTTCAAATAATGACTGCATTGTTACATATTTTATTCAGTTTGCAGAGGTCATCTTGGATGATGTGCCAGTAGAGTTCAGTAACTCAGCTTCAAGCATTGCAACCCTGAGACGAGAGACTGGCTTCTTGAGAATACAGTTATCATTACAAATATAAATTAAATGATAAACTACAAACGTTTAGCTTGAACGTGTTTGGAATATTTATATGGTATTGCTATAATCTTATTATTTAGTCATGCAAACAGAGTTAATGATTATTAAAAGTAAATTATTTGTTGTTCAAGATGACCTGACTGACTTGTGCTGTAACCCATTACTGTGGGAACCTCGACGGTGACACTCACTAGCTAAATGCTTATGTTTTAGGTTTCTCTCTTAGTGTCAGCTGAAAAAAGGTGAAAAAAATAAATCGCATAACAAAATGTAATTCACAGACCATGTAAACACTTCACACGACTTACTGTAGTTGTAAGGCATGGTGGGTGGACTGCTTTATGATACGAGTATTTTGCAACCTTTTACATATTTATTTAACCATTTCAACACAATACTTGTGTTTTTTTGTGTAATTCAGATTGGCTGTGACATTTGCCCACGGTGGTGTCACAGGAACTGTGCCAAGCAGCCCGCATGAGCAAAAAAAACCAAAACACATTTGTTTGTGAAGCATGCCGGACCGAGGGTTAGGGTCTCTGGGTTTTGTTCTAGGGTTTGTAATTGCTTTGTGTTTTGTATATAAAATTATTTATTTAGTTGTTTATTCATTCATGCATTTATTTATGTGTGTGTTGCTTTGTGTGTTTCAATAGATATTCCCAATATTAGAGTTCAGCTTTGATTGCAACTGGTTTGATGGATTATTCAATTATTTTGTGTTTCTTAATATGTTAGCATTATGCTTAATGTTGGCAAAGAATTTATATATATATAAATATATGTATGTATGTGTGTATGTATGTGTGTGTGCGTGTGTTTTATTGCATGGTTTGCTGGTGTTTAGCCTCTGCTATACCCCCGTGTCTTTTCTGTTTTTCAGTTTAATTCAATAGCGGGTTTCTTATTTACTTTGATATAATTGTTATTGCTTTTTGTTATGATTTCAATTAAAATGTGCTGTATTGGAATGACATTTTATTCCCCTTGTGTTTTGTCCTTCCCACAAGTTTCACTTCCTGTAGAGTTACTTGGTATTTGTGGTTTGTCTTAAGGCGTTGCACACGACATAATCACCGCCTGAAGTAGGAAGTGTAGAGCACTTCTGTGTCAGAGTCCATCAGGGCTGAGCTGCTTTCAGACGACTCCATCTTGTTGTGGTTGCTGAAGCTGATCATGGTTCTCCTGTGGATGATCCTGTTGGTGCTTCTGCTCTGTGCAGAGGCCGAGAACATGACCCAGGTCAGAGGAGAGCTGGGGACCGATGTCACTCTAACCTGCTCCAATCAGACATCAGACCCATACTGGTACATGGAGATCCACAGTCAGTTCAGAGCATGTATCGGCCGCAGTTTTTCCTCAGTAGACTCTACCTACTGCTCTCCTGGTTTTGAAACCAAATTTTCAATCCTGGGAAACAAACTTGTGATTAAAAACTTGACAGCAGAGGACTGCAGGCTTTACTTCTGTGGCATCAAGAGAGATGGCAGCACTCAGTTTGTGGAGACTTTCAGCCTCGTCTCAGGTTAGTAAAAGTTTTGGGTTTTTTTTGCTGTAATGCTGAAAACTACAGAAGCACAAATATGTCCAAAGCTAAATCTCACACCTGAAGGTTCACATAGTTTGGCTACATACATCTTTCAGCTAAAGGAAGACGTCATTAAATAGAATCAGTGTGTCTGGATAACAACAAATTGTCCATTTTTGACCCGTTAAGGCCAGGATCTTATTTCCTGGGATCATGCTCTGTCTTGTAAACCTGAAAAAAAAATCTTACACAAGAACAACTGTGAGACTAACAAGCATGTCTGAGACTGAAAGACAACATCATGTAGTTCCTAAAAACAAGTGTCTTCCTCGTGTTTTCCTAGTTACATTCTGTGGTTCAGTTTCAGGGATCGAACCAACCTTATAATTAGCAGGTGACCTGCTGAGCTACAGCCACCTCGACTGTTTTAAGTGTCAGATCGGTCTAGACCTTTGAAAATAAACAGGCTTCAAATGTTATGCAGAACTCTGTGTTCTTACAACCAGGTCAATTTTGTTCCTTTAGTCAGTGTCTGAGAGGTCGTCACTGAAACTCAAGGCAGCTTCTTACAGTAACTTTGTACCTTTGTGTAACACACAGCCCGACAATCGTCCACACTTTGAGGCTTCAAAGGAACCAATTTGTTAAAAGGTGTTGATGGCTGGGCCAGTTCACAACTTAATCTCAAACTTTTAAAATGCAGATCACAAACATCTTAAACTAATCATCTGAAAAAGCCTCAGATGTCAGCTCAGTTTGCTTCTTTATGAGTTTCTTCATACACTCATTAATTTCTTTGGCAATCTGTCTCTCTCTCCAGCTGTGTCTGCAACATCTGTCACAGTCACCGCCAGTAACCACCCAGACCAGCAATCTAACAAGAATGCATTGCAGAGTGATCGTGTCGTTTTCATCTCTCTGAGCCTGAATGCTGCACTCGTTCTTGTGGTAATCTGTGAGTCTGTTTCTTTCTCTAAATCTTTGTGGTCTCTCTGCTCTTCTATTAATATCAGCACACCTCCGCAGCGTGCAACATCGTGGTGCATGTAGAGGTGAGGCGTGTAACCATCAGATCGCGTTTCAGAGAAGTAATGAAGCTATTTTTTGAAACATGTTTGAGCTCAAGTTAAAGATCTGCAAAAGATTTAGCTAGACTATTATTGTCATCAGTCATAATCAGTAGTGTCCTTGATGTATGGATGCCGATGTTTTATGTAAAAAAATTAATTAGTGAAAAAATTACAGTAGTATCAGTATTTCACAGCTGCAGCTCTGATGATTAGTACAAACTAATATAAACCACAATCATCTAGAATTGTTCTTTAGTGGTAGTTTTGTGGGGCCTAAATTAAAGACCTGTTGTAATGGAGTGTATCAGAATTTCAGGAGCGGGACCACGCCTCCAAACACACTTCTTCCGGTTCTCATAGGTTCCCCCAGTTCTGCAAGCTGTCATTCTCGTTTACGTCTCCCACCCTCCTTCTTCTTTTCAATTCTTTAACTTCTTCACTTTTATTTATTACATTGGGAACCTGCCAGGCCCGGGAGCCGTCGCCCGTCCCCTTCGAGGTGTTCCCCGAACCGCAGCTCAATTCATGTCCAAGCAATTCACCTGCTTTACCTAGTAAAACGCTGTCAAACCTAAAATGCGGTCGTGGGCCCAGCTAGTGAAATACTTATTATGCTTTTCTTATTGTTCTTAAATGCATGAACACATGTTCATATTAAAGGTGGAGCTGCAGAGATCTCATAAAAATCAAAAAATAAGGTTTAAATGCTTTAATAACAATGAATGAAAGAAGTAATAATGTGTGTGGGGACACTGAGGCCCTGCAGAGCCTGCTGGCTGAGAGAGAGTCAGAGGAAGGAGCTTTTATAGACTTATCAGGTGTCACATTTTGGGGAAGGAGGAGCTAACTGGACTTCCTGAAGGCTGAAAGTTTAACTTTTGAATGTTTTTCTTGTCTTTTATTTAGAGTGTGAGATATAAGCTCATCTTCTTTTAGAGTTTCACCTTCCAAGCAGAGCAGCAGTTTGTTGTTTGTGTAGAAAGAGATCAGTGTTACTGTGAATTAGAGCTCATACTTGTTTCTGATCAGAGTGTAGTTCAGACCTGCAGCAGCTTCCAGTCACAGTTTAAAAACTCAACTTCCTCTCTTTGTGTTCTCCCAGATGTTTCAGCTGTGCTTCTGCTGTGCCAGATGTTGAAAGCTTTCTCTGCACAGTGGAGAAATGTGTTGTATGTGATGAGTACTGATGTGAGTGTGAAGGTGAAGTGACTCCTCTGACGGTCTGTTGGCAGGTCTGAGTTGTGTATCATTGTCTCTGAAGAGGAGAATCAGCAAATATCAGGCAAACCTCCCTCCAGCTGGGACCAGTGAGAGGCTGGAGGCTCCACAGGTAACTCAAAGTGTACAGGTGACCCTGCAGCTCATGCTCATTGTTCTCCTTCAGTGCTACTTTGTCCTGTACTCAGTGCTGCTGTTGTGTTTCAGTACGAGGAGATCCAGTTCCCCCCTCTGTCTGCTGCTCCTGCTACAGAGTGCATTTACTACAAACTGAAGGTTCCTCAGCTGTCACTGCCTCAAAGCTGAAGCACACCTGGACAGGTGGATGATACCTGGTGGATTCAGATTTTGTGGACAGAGGTCAGCCTGATGTCTCAGGACTTTCTGCTCCTCTGCTTGTGGGAGGATTTCTTTCTTCCTGTCGCAAAAATCGACAAACTTGCCAAACATCAGAAATGCAGTGAGATTAATTTCAGTCAGAAACAATCTGCTCTGCTTCTGAGCTGCGAGAGACCCAAAGATGTGACAACCTTTAGCCAAACCTGCTTTAATGTGGTTTAGGATTTAAGGTGGATATGCCAGAATTCAAAGCTGCTGTTAAAGCCTTTAAATATTTATTTTTTCTGTCTCTGTTTGCATCTGTTTAACAGGTTTTTTTTATCTGTCTGGTTGTTTATGCTATTCTGAACACATTCAAAGCTTAAGTAAGTCAAGTTTATTTAAAGATTGGCTTTAACAGGCATCATGAAACAGCAAGCTGGAAAAAAGTAAAAATTATGAAAATATCTATAAAATATAATTTAAAAAACTGAGCTAATTGCACCAAACAAACGAAACTGCATGTTCAGAATAGAAAAAAACTGAACTCAAAAACAATCATAACAAAAGAGTCCCAGCTCCAAAGCCTCTGTCCCCCCATTTAGTCTGTGAGGGGCGATTAATCCATTTTGAGCCTGGTACTGAAGACTGCAAGCAGCTGAGTGTTTAACAAGAAGTTGAGATGAACGGCCTGGAGATCATTCATTTAGGGCTCTTTATGTAAGTGTGGGAATTGTAAAACCAATTAAAAAAAAGTTAAGTTTTACATTTCTACCCTCACAAGCTCCAGGTGGTAACCAAGAGATTGACAAGACCCAAATAGGCTTCCTCCAGAGGGTGTCAGGGTTTCCCTTCAAGATACAGTCAGTGAATGACTCGGAGTAGAGATGCTGCTCCTCCACATTGCACTGAGCTGTCTGAGGTAGTTTGAGCATCTAACAAGGATTGCTCCTGGACACCTTCGAGGTGTGCTGAGGCTCCTGAACCCAAAAGAGCTAGGTGGCCAGGAGAGGTGGGAGGTCTGAGCATCTCTGCTTGTGTTATTTTTAGAGTATTGTTAACAATAGATTGACTTTGAGGTCTTTGCAAATCATTGCATCCTGTTGTTATTTACATTTTTCACTTTCATGGCTGAGCAGCCGGTGTGTTTAGGTCCACACTGCAAACACACCAGCTGCTCAGCCGTGACAGACCCAGCTTCCAAACCTTTTTCAGAATGGTGCTTTGTTTGCTTCAGAACATTTAAAATACATTTCTACATATGTGTGGCATTATTCATTTGATCTGTGAAACTACACTGTTGAGGAATGAACATGTATTCCAGTAACTGTGAAGATTTTTTGTTTGATTGACGCGTTCGTCTTCAGTTTAGGCATTCAGAAGTTGTAGCCTCAAGTGGAAGTTCCCTCCAGTGTTAGAAGTGTTTTAAAACAACACTGTGACTGTCAGGTTGCTTTTCCTTTGTTTTTCTTACATTCAGTGTTTTCTTGTTTTGGAGTAGAAAGTGTGCTTTAATGTACTTTAATTACATGTACTGTCAAGTTTAGTGTTAACACATTAAACGTAACAACACCAATGAAGAGAAACCAAATCTGTTTGGTGTTGGGGGTTTTTTCAAATAGTTTCATAAAGTTCTGCTTCTTGGGGGCTGTGTGGGTGTTTGTTGGTCAGACTTGACTTAAAAACGAATCAGAACTTTAATCACACTTTCTGAAAACGACCACAGGTGATAAACTGCAAAAAAACGTTTTCATTGTTGCTCCTCTGTAGAAAACCAATTTCCTGTTTTCAGATATTATGACTACGTTAATCCCTTCCCACCTCCCACCAGTGCAAAACGCACAAGAAACCCCTAGTATCTGCTGAGTGGAACAACCAGAGGTGTCCTTGTTCACCTATATGAGAAGAGATGAGGCGAAAACATGCAGGTGGTTTGTTCAGATGCAACTTTGCAAACCTACACCCTACTGCTGTGCTCCTTTTAGAGAGCAGAGACTTTCTCCTTGCTACGCTTCCAAGATAAAAAAAATATATAAATAATGCGGATATAAATAAATAATAATAATAAAGGAAATTCTGCAGTCTGTGAACCGTTAATTATTTTCTAATCCTTCCAAATAAACCATGTTTGCTGAGTCTCTCTACTGTGATAACTTTAACATTTAACATGTTTAGTTATTTATCATATTGAGACTATTTATCCACTTTGTTACACATTCCTATGCAGAGAGAAACATCTATTATTAAGCTATGAGTGGGTTAGCTTACTAACTGTTTCCCTCGTCTTTATTCTCTCTCCTCTACATTTTCCCTCCATTCACTCTCCTACAGCTGGGCCTCCTCCACATCCAGACAAAAGAGATGAGGCTGATCTTGACTTTTCCTCTTTGGCTGCACATGCTATGGTTTTCAGTAATCCCAGTGGGATGAAATGTTGTTGGAACTCTTGAAGTCAAAGGGATCTCCTGTCTCTAGTAAGTTAGAGGCTGTTCCACCCCTTCCCTACAGATTTTGGACTAATGGCTTGGCCCCTAAAACGAAAATGCTCTTTTCCCCAGGTTTACCTGGGCTGGTGGCGTGAATTATGCATGAGTCAAGCCAGTGGCTTAAAATTTGCAGGTCTGCGCCCTCATTTCTTCCATGGGTATTTAATTTAGTTCTTGGTGCACTTTAGCATCCCCCCTTTGAGGTATCAACGATGGTGATATGAAATGATTTTCTTTCAAAACTGGGAAACTTCAGTTTTGAGAGATTGGTTGGCCACTTCATGGGCTTTACAGAGGAGTGCTTCCCTCTCAGCCATTTGTTCAGCTGCGATGTGGTTGTCTGTGTCCATGTTTTCCAGATTCTACCATCTTAATGTGGGAGCCACTCCATCCTTTGGGGAGCAGGGGCTGTGTGTGTCTAGGCAGTATATCATATATTTCAATCATATTTAGCGGATGGCACTGAGTCTGTACAACTGGATTGCCTTGTACTGAGTGTTAAACACCTTCCAATGGTGTGTGAGGAAATTAGCTTGTATGCCGATGACACAGTCTTCTTAACGTGTGATGGTGAATAAGTAGCCAGGAAACTCATATTGTAGAAAAGGTTTCATCTTGGCTTATCCTTGATTCACACACATACAAGAGGACATCAGCACAGGTCTTTCCAAAACATCCATGTAAACAATTATAAAATAAACTATGTTGATCAAGTTAAATATTTAAGTGCTGCTTTAGATCTTATGCTGAACTTCAAGAGACACATTAAAAAGATGGGTAATACACTTAAATGTAATAGTTACCTTTCTGCAATTTCGTCATTGACTTCACTAAGAAAGACTATTCATGTGCCTGAATACTATCATATTCTTTTATATAAACTATTTCTATCTCCTGCTGGTCCCAGGTGAGTACTACAACATTAAAATCTAACAAAAAGTCTTTACGATCAAGCTTCAAAAGTCCTAGATAGGAAACGAATATATTTTCCTCTTTAGTAAATTTAATATTTTAAACTTTGAGAGTTTAATTTGCTTTTCTGATGTTCAACTTTGTTCAAAAATTGTTAAAAATTACACCCCCACCTCACAAAAATGTTGTTCAGCTTTGCTAAGAACAAACACCCAGAGGTAATTGCTGGTTGGTGCCCAGTGGTATTATTTGGTCATGTTGTTAGGCTATCTAAGCACCCTCACTTGCTTACCTGTTGCCGTACACATCCATGTCTCAGGTCACCTGACTTCCCTAGCTTTCACTGGTAAGAGTCACATACCTGGTGCTCCTTGGTCTTAATTGGCTATATTGATTGATGCTAGTCGTGCTTTGTATGGATCACCTGCAGATTATTTTCTTAGAAGCCTTCCCTCCATCGATTATTTGGACATTGTTATTTTGCTCCCCATGTGAACAGGTACAGAGGCTGTAGCTACAGAACGCTCCTACTGGCCGATAACTCTGAGAATTGAGCACTTGGTATGTAACTGTGGCTTGTCATGATCTTTGCATTGCTTCTGCTACCGTCTTTTTCACTGTTAATTAGGGCTGAAACAAATGATTATTTTGATAGTCGACTAGTCACCGATTATTCTTGCAATTAGTCGACTTATCAGATCCATTGGCCATAAAATGTACAGCTTATTGCACCAGCATGCATGTGCTCATATATAACTATCATTAGCTTAGTGTTTAAGGTAACTAAAAATAAAGACAAGATGATAGTTTATTAAACTTTGAATGAAATTTGCAGATTGTCTCAGTGGAGTTGAATAAACTCAGCCGTCTGCTCCTTGCTATCTAAAATATTACAGGACACTGGAGTAAGTTCTCAACCATCTCACACTTCTGTTTAATCCGTTTTCTGTTTGACATTTACTCAGCTGTGTGAAAACTAAAACTTTAATCTCAGTCAACCTGATTTACTCAGGAACAAATAAATCACTGAAAAAAGCCAAGCAATAATTTTTTTTTATTAAAGTTATCTAAGTGACTTAGATATCATGTTTAACCTGAGTAGCGAAAGACCGCGGGGATCTGATAACGATATGCTGGGAGTTCACCGTTCTCACCGGCTCTAGTGAGCCTTGAACCCCGGCTAACTATCGAGCTGGTGGGTAACAGACGTCTCCAAAAACGTCTACTTTTCACTTTTACTTGAGTAATGATATTTTAAAGTAATGCTACTCTTACTTGAGTACAATTTTTGGATACTCAACCCACCTCTGATCGTCGACTATTGAATTAGTCGTCGATGTAATCGTGTCCAGTCGACTAATCGTGGCAGGCCTAGTGTTAATGTTAATTTTAATTTGCATTACTGGAAATCTGGGCCTCGGTGTACACAATTTCAAATCTATGCATACGCTCACTTAAATCTTTTCAGTCATTTAAGTCAATAAAAGCCCGAAATTACCATGATGTTCATGCTGAAGATGTGTTTCTTTGCTGTGAAACACATGTCTGTGTAGACACTTC